CTATCTTTGTTTCTTATTTTGACTGTCCTGCCTGGCAGCCTTTGCAAGCAGAATCATGAACTGAATGCTCTGTTGTGCCAAACACATTTACTTTGCCAAGAGAAGATCTGTAAACTCTATAGGCTCCTCTTGTTATTTATTTATTGAGTTTTGTTTTTGTTGTTCTTTTGTTTTTATGTTTTTCATTATTATTGTTATTATTATTATCGTGTAAATGTGCCATAGCTGAGAGGCGGGGGAGAAGAAAAGAGAAAGGACCGAAATCAATAGAAATAATAAGGATGAGCACAACGGGTCATCAACTGCTGCATCTGTAACAAGATGCCCTCGCGGTCAAAGGGCTAAGGCCTTAGAAGACCAGAGGCAACAACCAGCCGACCCTGCCAGAGGCCGGCCACCCCAGAGTGAGCCAAGGGTGGGACCCCAGGCTCACCCAGAGTTAAGGCCCAGAAGGCATTCAAGAAGACAGACCACAGCGACCACCACCAATAACTAAAGGAACTGATCAGTGAGGCCCAGAGAGAATCCAGTTCACCCAGGTTTTTAGAAGAGGCCGAGATTCTTTCCAGACGTGATGTAGAAGTACATTTTATATTGAGTAACACGTAAATTATTTTTGAACTTTCAGTTCATGAGGACAGTTTTCTTTGCGATGGATAATGCAGTAAGAACTGTGTGCAATGTAGTTGCTTCCATTTCTAATTCATTTATGTCACCTAAAATACATAGTTTGTTTGAGGTTGCAATGCAGCAACTAAACCATGTGGACAGGTCTTCACAAATCCTTTACCAGAAACTCTTGAGAGACATACAGGACTGTGGCAGAGTGTGGTCTGTGGCTCCGCTGCAAAGGAGGGGCTGTGCCAGGGAGGCTGGCAGGGCTGCTGGAAGCAATTCAGTAACTATGCTCTCCATATTTCAGGGACTCCAGGACCTGGAAAAAATGAGGACAGGTGGAGATAGACTCAGAATTGAGTCTAGCTGGATCATCGTGGTTGGTGTCTCCTAGGAGTCCATTATCTGAGGTCATTATCATCGTGTTTCAGTGGAGGTGTTTCAGTCCCAGAAAAAATAATAAAAAACACTGCAGCAGTTGTCTGTTAATAGTGCAAAATCAAAGCATTCTGAGCAGATTAGCTTAGACAGAACAAAGACAAATGCAGCAGAGTCTACTGAGGTGTAGTACACATCAGATTGGAGGGGGGGGGGAGGGGAGCTCTAGAAGCAAGTTGGAAGATTTGAAATGTGACAACATAACAGAGTGAAAAAGGATGACAAAAATTTCCAAGCACAAAATGACAGGATGATAAATAACCAATAAACCTGAGTGTGTCTGGCTTAAGGTTTCAGGTGTTTCGTTCATCTTGAACTGTGTGTGCGACAGACTGAAAGATTTATGAAGCTGCACAAACATTTATGAGGGGAATCGGAAGTGTTTAAGAGGATTTCCTGCTATGAGATTTCTTTTTCATATAAGCCACAAAGAGGAGTGCAGCGACACAGAGCACCAACACCACAGACGACAGAATGACTGAAATCCTGATTCCTTTGAGAAAAACAGGAGATAGAAGGATACAATAATGTGAACAACTATCAAATGATGAAAAACATTGATCATAAAAACTGGCTTTAAAAACACAAATGTTAACACACCTAAATTTCTCTGATTAGATCCTGACTTCTTATCCAAACCTGGAAAAAGAAACACAAACATTAGAATCACAGAGTAATCATTAATTTATGAATCAGTGATGTTGAAACAATTTCTCACCATCACCATCATCATCATCATCATCAGGAATCGTCACCATCACCTCTCTGTGAGGAGCAGAGAGCACTCGTGCTGCACATCCCACCTGTGTGCTGTGTTTACGTGAACCTGAGAGCACAGCTGTAGTGGTGACAGTGAATGTAGCGTTGGTGTTGGACACACTGACAGTGTTGTACTGTGAGAAGCTGAGGTGTTGTTGTGAGACACTGAGTGTTACAGTGGGAGCAGGTCGACCAGTGGCTGAACAGGAAACAACCCACTCTTCAGTAGAGTTTGACTCTCTGACATCAACAACAGGTTCATGCAGCTCTGTGAAGGATCAGGAGATATCATCAACATGTTCTTACAAACACACCAGCTGCTCACACATTTATTTCCAGTATGTTTGTTTGAGGTAAAAGTTCTTACCATAAACTCGGAGGCAGGGTTTCCCTGGCAGAGAGCCGTCAGGATAAGTGTTAAACAGACAGTGATAGCAGCCTTCATCCTGCACCGTCACATTCCTGATGACTATGGAGCAGTTGTGTAGTCCAGTGTATTTAAACTCAACTTTCTCTTTAAAGCCATCATTCACTCTCTGACCATAGTACTTGCTGTAGGTGGCAACATTTGTCTCCACATCATGTGAGATTTTCTGCCATGTGACCTGAAGGACGTCTTTAGTGTCCAAGAGCTGACAGCTGAATTCAGCATCTTCTCCCACTGCTGCCAGCACAGTCTGCTGTGTTTGGATCACTGCTGTTAGAGCTGCAGGAGATACAGTTTGAGATGTGAGGCACATTCAGTTTTTGTTCAGGTGAACTGTAACACACAAAGTTGCAGTTTCACTGCTAAAACTTTTTTGTTATTTTTCTCACTGTTCATAACATGTTTTACAGTCTTTTTATTTTTTTTTATTTTTGAGTTTCCTTCCTGAATAGAACTGCCCCAAACGTATACAGTAACTGCTGCAGGGGATTTTCTAACACTACAAGGAGGATTTTATTATTGACCGACATTTCAAAAAGAGCATTGCAAATTAAGAGTAAAGAAATGAGCAGACCTGACGAAACATTAAATATGAATATTTAAAAGCAAATAACAGAGTATAAGTGTTTTTCTGTAAACAGCGCAGCAATTTGGCTAAATGAGAGGAGGCCGAAGGGCAATTATTCTGTTTTTGATATAAGATTGAACCAGTCAGGGGACTGTGAGGTCCTGAGACTCAGGGAGTATCCAGAGAAATCTGAGGTATTACAAACCGCTCCACTATGAACCTCTAAATCTCTGTGTAACAGCTGAGTTATACAGTGGACAGAAGAACATTTATGATCAGAGCCCCAACAGTCTCTGTGTTAATGAAGATACTGTAACTGTCCCTTTTGCTGTGGTGTGAGACATTTTTCATTATGTGCCTCTGTGCAGAAATGTGACTCAAATCCTGAAACCCTGCAAACTTGTCTGCTCGCTCTCAGTACAGAATATCGACTTTAGTAAAGGACAACAGTGTGCACAGTTATTATGTAAGCTCATATTTATTCTAATGGTTCAGGGTTTGACTGTAAATAATGCTCTGTGTTCTTCTTCACATTGTACACGTGAGCTGTTAAAAAGACTCGATGTTCGTGGTGGAAGAGTTTGCAATGAAGCAGTCCTCTGGATGAAACTTGAGCTGTGCAAGGACACGCACGAACATTTATCCACACGCAGCTTTTTTTAACACGAGCCTCTCTGATATTAAACACACTGATTTTCCTTCAGCTGCCTCTCGTTGCGCTGAGTCATCGTGCTGTTTCTGGGGAGAAACACGTGCGTGAAAGCGGCTCCATTACTGCATCATTACTGTTCTCCTGTCAGGATTGTTTTTGATCCGCTAATTTGCCAATTTTTCCCAATTTGTAAATTTGTAAAAATCAGATAACTTCACCCCTCATTGTTAGTTACTGCATTACACAGTTTACACAAACTCAAGTTCTCATTTATCATAACTTGAGTAATATCTGTCACTTTGACGCCTACGTGCTGAACATGGGAAAGTCAAATACTTCAAATGATTACAAAGTTAGTAAAACTGAGCGGTAAACTATCGAACACACACACACACACACACACACACACACACACACACACACACACACACACACACACACACATATATATATACAGAGAGAGAGAGAGATTGTATAGAGTTGTATTAACACAGACTTTGTTCCCACCTTTGTCAGAGACTCCAAGAATAAAAATAGCAATCACATAAAATGAGACTCCAAGATGCGACATCGTGGCTCCACACTTACCGCTAAAACTTCAAACTGAGCGGAAATGTGAATGTTCCGGGGAAACACCTCCGACACTGAGTCACAGTATATATCTATATAGAGAGAGAGACACAAAGAGATATTTATTTATATTAGCAAGTGCGCTTAAAGTGGTTAAAAAAACCTCTCTGTCCATAAAGAAAATAGAGTTTAAAAGCTTTTATAATTCATGTGTTCTAAGATGTTTTTGTGTACTTGCTGCTAAATTGCAGGTTGTTCATGTGAAACTAAACTGTTGGCTAATTTCAGGTTGATCAAAACGAGCAGCTTAACGAGTGCACATGAGAACAAAATTATTAATATCATTATTGTTTTTATGAAATGATTTTCTTTCTGTGAGCAAAATATAAAAATGCAAACATCCAAAATTCAAACTGGGACACTTGGAGAAGCTGCGTTTAAAATACTTTGCTCTGCTAAACAACACCTTGAAAATAGTTTTTAAAAGGAGAACTAATAACCCCTCATCTGTCTCTGAAGGTAAGTCTTTATCTTTAAAAAGAAAAAAATAATACTTACCTTGTACACAGAACTACTCTGTTTTTACTACTAAATGATTCGTGAAGCGGGGTTTTTTGTGTGAATTATCTTGTAGAAAGTGTCACCTGGCAGTTTGCTGCCTTCCGTCGTGTCAGCAGAGGAGCTTCGAAAGGTTAGTGGGTGAGTGACGTGAGGTCAGCGCTCTTCTGTGGGAAGTTCCACAGACGATTAACTCAGAGACTTTGGCTGTTTGATTTTGATTATACAGTATTGTAGGTGCTCATTTTTAATGCGTGTTTTTCGACTTTCTAGTGTGACCAAGGATTTTAATGGTTGAATGAATCAAGATCTAGATCGGCTGTGAGCGGGGAAATCAATCAATATAGTACGTATATTGATTGTTTTTAGTGAGCATTGTAGTGCTATTTGCTTGGACCTTTGGTTTGATAGGTCTCATATGCGGCTGGGATATTAGTAGAATTTGTTGTAAATCCTGTCTGCGAATGAAGGGGAAATGTATGTTTAACTGATGGAATAAATAAATGAAACATTTATTTCTTTGGATATTCTATTCGACACTTCAGTGCTCGGTTAAAATCTTTTTATTAAAGTTTTCGTTCTGAATTCAAAGTCCGTCCAGCTCCGAGTTAATTGGTAGTATAGTCGTTGCCTCATGTGAACCACTTCCATGATAGACTCACTAGATGGCGCAATAGCCCCAGTGTGACTATTTTTATTTATTTTTTTGTAATGAACTTTAATTAACTGTGCATCTGGACGTAGCGTTTTTACTATAGTAAAAGAAGAAGTCACTTGAATGAGTGAGTAATCCTCACTCAACACACAAAAACACCAGTTTTTGATGTCGCTGCCAAATAAAATATAAAATAACTAAAACACTATACAACAATACCTGACAAGAAACACTGGCATGGTCTTACATGATAAATATTACTGGACTGAGAACTGAAAACTTTATAAATGTAAATATCGATATACATATTGGGCTGGCTGTAGCTCAGGTGGCAGAGCAGGTCAGCCACTAATCAGAAGGTCGGTGGTTCGATCCCAGGCTGCCTCCTGGCTGCATACCAAATATCCTTGGGCAAGATACTAACCCCATGTTTGCCTACTGGTGGTGGTCAGAGGGCCCGGTGGCGCCAGTGTCCGGCAGCCTCGCCTCTGTCAGTGCGCCCCAGGGTGGCTGTGGCTACAATGTAGCTGCCATCACCAATGTGTGAATGACTGAATGTAGTGTAAAGCGCTTTGGGGTCCTATGGACTAGAAAAGCGCTATACAAATGCAGGCCGTTTACCATTATTTTATCTGTCTTTTGTACACATTTTGAAAAGCCTCTATAAATTCACCATGAATAAACAAAGACCTCATGTGGCCTTTTTGTGTAATTTTACTCAAAATCTGTTGACGGCCAAGTGTTTAAAATATGGGACTTTAATTATGTTTATTTGTTTTTGAAGAGTTTTCAGCAACAAAAGCCGTTTGAACAGTCATCCAAAATTATTGAAAAAATAATTTTAATGTTCAAAAAAGTAATAAAAAATAAAACAAAGAATTTACATAAAAACAATGCACAATACAATATTATTAATCTGGTTTTTCTGTTTCAAATCTTAACATCACACTGTAAGGAAAGTCGAGAAAACTCAACACAAGTAAACTGTAAACTCTTGCTTCAATCACATTCAGTTCAGGTTTTGAAAAACACAAATTCCTGCTGAGTAAACAAATGTGTGAGCTGCTAATAAGAGATCTTCTGCTGTTCAGTCAGGTGCACTAACCACTACACTGCAAATCCACACAAAACGTTAAAACGATAAATGTTTATCCAGAAAAGACCATGTATCTGCAAAAACCTGCCGCTCAAAAAAGTCAACGCTGTCAAAAAGCATGTGTTTGTGCTGGTGAAGGTGAAAGGGTTGGATCATGGTTTAGTTGGTTTCTCTCAGGTCTCCACTTTTTAAACCTGTTTTACTCAGTGACTCAGTGAGGCAGTGGGCAGCCATTGGGTGCCCGGGGAGCAGTGCGTAGGGACGGTACGGTTCTCATGGTTCCTCATTTTTCCCAAGTTGTCATTTAGGAACGTGTTGGGTGCCCGAAAACGTGACATGTTGATGATTTGTCACCCAGCGTTAAATGTTATGCTTTGGGAGTGAGAACGTGTTGCAGCAGTACCTCAGGGTAGCCATCCATTGGATTCAAACCCCTGCCCTGCGATCATGGGGCCATCACTCTACCTACTGAGCTATCCC